ATTGATTTTTGAGGGTGTGAACAAACTGTTATAGGGATAATGACTGGTAACTTTAAGTTGATTTCATGCCAGTTTGTTCACTGAATGCCCAAAAAAATTATGAGTTACTGAATGACGTTTTCATTACTTATTGTCTGTAGTTACCTCGAGGCAGCAATGTGCTATTTTAGAAATAATACTCAAACTTTAAAGGGACTGTGAACTACTACAGATAATCTCAAAATTATATACTAACACATGCATATACATCCCCTCTTATAAACGCTCAAGGCTGATAATACAAGTTAGAGAAAACATGATACGAAATTCGTCAAGAATTGAAAGACCTCCTCCATGATGATAACGCTAAGCAGTGGTAATATTACCTAATGTAACACATATTTATTGTTTCATCATGTGTAAAGTCGAAAACAGTCAATCATGACACAACACATCGACAAAAAACAAGAGGTGATATTTAAATCCAAATGACCATGAGAGGTGTGATCATCAGAATGATGAAACACTGGCAGCTGGGATGTGATTTTTTAGATTGATTTCTGACGAAGTACCATATACCTCTGTCTTTCAGTGATATCGTCTGAAAACCAAATATGAGATAACGTGAACTAAGATCACTGGAAAACAAGATTCACCCTATGGTGGAAGACATATATTTATGAGCAAGAAGCATGAAGGCTTTATTTAATACATTCAGTGACTTCGTGAACACGATGAAATTTTGAATGAAAGGTATTGATCACTGCTTAGAACTGAATAACTCATCACATCTCCAGTGACAAAGTAACAGTTTACCACTGTCTGAGATGCTAAGAAGAGTATTGAAGTTAACAATAAGATATACATCTCATGTTTTACAAGAAACATGACTAACTACTAGAGAAGAAATAAACCAAAATATTTTCCACTCATAATGAAATTCAATCTGAAATATATTAGTATTACTACCAGAACTAGAAATAACTGTGATTTAATAGCTGTAGAAAGAATCATTTTTATCCACTGAATAATTCATGTTTTTTTGGAAACTTATTTTCGATGCAGGCAAAAGGACATAATTTTGTGTCATTTACAATATGTTTACATTGTTTTTGAAGTATCATGTTATGTTAAGTCGATATGATTCTTTTCTCCTGAAGAAAACATCTTTTATGCAAATTATTTTAAACTGGTTACTGATAAAATCGTCTATAGTAAAACAAACTAGAGTAAGATACTTTTTGAAGAGCAATTTATATTTTTTATGGTATGTTATCATTCTGGGCTAACAACACCATGTCGACAACTCCTAGAGATTACAAGCTTCAAAATCAGTTGGGTTATTTGTAAAACTAAACATAAGGTAGTGAATAGCAAAGCTTAATTTAATGATATTCATTTTATGCATTTTCGCTTCCGGCTGTTTAACGAATATGTTCTTGTAAACTTAAGCGTTTCCTAGGAATGCGAACTGCAGTCATTCAGGTGGTGAGCTTCTAAAGTATATTTTCAAAATCAGATGTCTATGTCAGAAGGACAGAAGAAGTTAGGTGGTCAACAAGGACACAATGGAGTCATCAGCTTAACAGTAGTGCCAATAAGACTGCGCAATATAATGACTAAGCATATTATTGTAGTGTATCATAAATCCTGTTTGTGGGTTGAGTTAATGCGAAAGTTTTGGCAAATAAGTGAAGCATAAAAAGTGACCATTTCTCTTTCACATGAAATAATCATGGAAGAAAATTGAAAAACACTTTAAATAAAGTTCATAAAAATGGGCCCAACTTACAATATAATCGGATGAATGGCTAAAATGTTAAAATAAAAGAAAACATATGAAATATAAATCACTCGAAGGACTGTGGATTCATTTAGGTATCACACCTAGTTTGAATATTATCCAAAAGAATAACGGATAACCTACAAAATGTGACAAATCTCCTCAGTTAAAAATGTAATAAAAGACTATGTCATCAGCGTATTCACGCAACCGTTTTCGGTAATCTATTATAAAGCAGTTTGAGTTTAGATGAAACAAGTGGGCTGTATGTTATCCACCTGAATATCTTCTTGATTAATTTCAGTTTGTAAAGTATCCCAAAGCAGCAATTTTTTGTCAGTTAAGCAAATATCATTTCATCTTACTTCTTTTATTTCATCTATCTTAATTATGACTGGTACACTTGAGTACAGTGGACTGATTATGATTCATTTTCAGTCATTTTAAGCCATGAAAGTGAAAATCATGATATCCAGGTTAATGGAGACCCGCTTTTTATATGATAAATACCTGTCACCGGCTTTGCGACAATTCTTTCACCAACACTTCTTAAAATGACAGATCCTATGATTTTTCATGCTTCAGTAACTGACTAGTCTGGGTTCAGAAATCAATATGTACATTCACATGGTTTTAATGTAACATTTGCCATCACGAAAATGTGATGTAATGTATTTGTTAATGCATTATATGCGGACAAGATGAGAAATATTAAGTTATCAGTAACATGAGTATTCTTGATGTCACAAAAACTTATAAACCAATAATCAAGTTTAATTCAGAAATTGACCAATCCGTCGGGCAATCTGTAATGTTACTGACTACTTTGAAGGATAAAGTCACCTCATATATTCCGTTTCTGAAGGTGTTATTAGACTGAGGTTTTTTGAGAAACCATTGGGAACAAAGGAGCAAGAGACACGGGATGTCGGTTAACGAGAATGGTCTCTTCGATACTAATCAAAATCGTACAAGTCTTACAACTAAATTATAATAGTTCTTTTGCAGTCCTAATGAGAAGTAATCTGTGGGGTTCACTTAATAAAGTATTACAACAGTTACTCATCAAGGATACTGGATAACGGCTGCCTTGCTCCACGGTTTCAAAGTGTTACGAATTATTGGATTTCTAGCCATTTATTAAGTTTCATCTTACTAGTCATGAGGTGTAACTAAAAAGGTTTAAATATCAGCGGTATTCATTGAACAGTAATCCCTAAAATCATGATAATCGAGTAATATCCAAAATATGCTTCTGTATATTAGGTTGAATGAAGACTGAAAACTGTTCATTTTTGGGATTTCATCAAACCTTCACGTAAAATCTTAGTTACAGCATTCAAGCATAATTCTTACTCTTATAACATTCTTTCGTTTTAGTGATGAAAGCAGTATGTTTGATTTTACCTTAGCCTCAAGGCAGAATGAAGGGTAACGTTTCTTCAATGTAAGATGAAATGAGTCTTCAAATTCTTACTTGTAATATTATTTTCTATAACTGAGGGAGATTAAATTTTAGAGTGAAAATAGTCGTCCATTCGTACTCCTCTTTTACATTTCCCGATAAGTCTGTATTTGTTTACTTTCGATAGACCTAAACGCTTTGGCAATTTATTCCATTAAAATGGAGATATCTTGGATATTTGATGAAACTTTTAAAACTGAAATCACTAAATTTATTATTTATGTTATGGAGTGAAATTAAATGGGTTCAGCAGTTCATATTTTACTTTTAGGTTGACCATCATTCCCAAGATTTGTGTTAAAATGTATAAAGACAACCCTGACCTAATTTAAAACATTGTTAACGCATTGAAAGGGCTTGTCGTAAATCTTCGTCCTAATGAGTTGGTGAAGTGCAGAATTCTCAGCCCGATACTAATGTAATGGGTGGCGACATACATGAATTAAGTATTCTGACAGTTAGACTAGTTTTATTTCATGGTTCATCTTTGATAGTGAAGAATTATTCGAAAAATCTTTGACCCCAATTATTTTATTCTGAATACCTCCTGTTAACTATACAAAAAGGGTGCAAACAAATACACGGTTGCTTATGTAAAGAACAGGTAATGTCAATATGAAGTTGAACGTACATGTTTATAGAGTTTAATTCTTTTGGATGAATAGATGTTTCAACTAAACGTGTAACAGTGATAAATGAGCAGTTAGGTGGAATATTTACAACAGACACATAATAATAACAATCACAAATAGGAGTATTTTATTTCTAGAGGCCAGTGTGGAAATTATTTACAACCACTTTCCCCAAGAATCTTCTTGTCTGCAAGTTACCGTGAACGTACCTCATTATCTTTCCTTCTTACTTAAGCAGAAGATTGTGTCATAAGAAAGTCATTATCCTAAATTACACTACTTGTTTACAGAGGATTTCTTCAGCTATATTTCAAATAAACATTGGAAAATAATGAGTTCAACTTGATTTACTCTAACCTCTTAGGTCTCTCTGGGAGTAGTCTCTACTCATTAGGCTTTTTGCTCATGTTTAAGTTTGGCCTGTATTCACCCAAGTCCCTTATTCATTATCAAATTTATTCTAATTGGTCCCACAGCACAACTGTATCGTCTTACCTGACTTTTTTGTTTAACTTACAACTTATTTCCCACATTTTTTGATTAGGGAAAGATGCTGGACATTGTTAGGTCAGAATTTACTTACTTTAGGCTAACTCATTTACAGTCTCCCACTTTAATGCTGTATGCAATCACTCATTAAACAGTAGGTGGTCTTCTACGTAGCGAGGCGTTAAGATAAATTTTTTTACTTCCTATTGATGAAGAAAATTTGAAAAAGGCGTAATTTCTTGTACGAAAAAAATGGTCAACATATACAAGGATAAGATTTCATTAATTCTTTTCTTTACTGTCGGACGACTCGAATTTTCCCATTTATACATATATATATATATATATATATATATATATTGCCGTACATATAAGGTCAAAATCAAAATAAATAAATCAATTTAAAGAAAAGTTTTATTATCTCGTTTTATTAGCAAAGGCGAAAGATGAAATTTAAAAAACTAATCGTTATCTTTTTACTTAATTGTGGGCTTGAGGTTAAAGGTTAAGCTAAACATATACCTATTAGTAAACATTCAGGCACACCTAGAAGTCAACAAAATTTGTGGAAAAATATATACGTCGTTAAATCAAAATATTTTTTGCCGTCAAAATGCAGTCTGCTTTCTACTTCCTTTTACACTTAATTCAGATTGAAGAGATCGTGAAAACGTTGACGATATTTCCTACTCAACTTCGAGATAAATGCAGTCAACTATCCCCTGGATTTTTGTATTATGATGAAGTAAGTTTATTTTTTGTATGCACTTTATTAAATTTAGTTACACTAAGTAGTGAATGGTGCGTTGATGGCACAGCGGTAGAATGCTTGCCAATGACGCATGTGATCCGGGATTTGATCCCCGGCCGATGCACTCCTTTCCCTCGCTAAGTCAGTAATAAGGCTGGTAAAGAGGGAAGGTTGGGCATAGCAAACCCATCTAGCAAAAATAAACACCACTGCTATCGAAACTTCAAGCCTGTAACCTGAAGTCCTATGTTTCACCGGAAACGTAAAGGAATAAAAAAGGAAAATAAGTAGTGAATGATATTTGTACACATACGTCTAATGAATTTAAAAATAAATTAGTCTCCGAGCTACTTCGCTTGGGAATATTCTTATATGAGAAGTGACATTTTTATTAGCGGGCTGTATATTTGTTGTTTCATATCTCACCAAAGTCTTCATCAACCAAACGTTCAGATGGGTGGATAAACTGATCTCAAGTAGTTGCATTGTGTAACGAAGTATTAAATCGCAGTCTTACTGGGTTGTATTTTTTCATAACTGTTTTAGAGAATTGCATTTAGTCTATATTGGAAAATTCGAAATGCAAAAATTGTCTTATTAGAAGTGTATGCAAAGTGGAAAATATTTTGTTCTGATAACACCTACAGATTTTCATCAAAATATAGGTTGAATTTTGTGCAGACATTTTGAAAAGCGCTCAGAAATAGCACGGGATTCCTACAGTGAAGAAGCAAACAGAATCTACAGCTTTCAGAAACTATTAATTTAGAATTGAAATTGGAATATGTCATATTTACCTTTTATCTAGGTTTAATTTTAATAAAAGCTAGTTAACTCTGAAATAATAATAGTATTGTGTGGAATTTGTGTGGTTGACTAATCAGAACCTTATTCTCAAACAGGAACTTACTGTTTCATTGGTCTTAGTATATTTAAGTCTGTAGCGGGGTAAAAAGGTGATTGAAAAATAGGTAGTTTCATATACTTCTTTTCTAAAGTTAACGTTTACATTGTACACACATTTGCAGCTTTGTGCGATAAACAAGTGAAAAAATGTGGCTTTATTCTCTGAATCAAAAGTGGGTGTTTTTGGATGCCGAAACTTGAGGAACTCAAAAGATGTTTCAGATATTTCAGTAATATATAGCCTTACATGTTAAAGTCTCAAACAGTTCTACTGACCATTGAATAAGTGGGTAGTTTTGCCCATATGCTTCAATTTTGAATTTGAAGCATTGTAGAATATCAATATTCTTTAAGATAAGTAAACAAAATTAATTGATTTTTTCACTTTAGATCTTATAAAGGGCCATGGCTGTAACATTCTCTAAGTGGAGAAAACAAAACAAATTTCTTCTGTAATCAGGAAATGAAAATATGATAAATACTTTTTCGCGGTGTTTTTAAAAGTGGTATTGGATTTTGGGCATTTTTCGGGTTGGAAATGCATGCCAACATTTCCAGAATAATTGAAGCGACTTCTGGTCGAATGTCATTCACCAGAGTACAAACTGAAACTTATGTTTCATTCAAATGATTTGCGATCTTAGTACAATAATTAGTTGTCAACGCCGAAGAGAAGGAAAATTTCTATCGACGCATGTTTGTGACTGAATTTTTGACTTTGTTGGATGACCGACTGTCAAATGAAAATTCGAAGTATTCATCACACCGAGCACATGCTAACAGTCGAATCGTGTTTTGCATATTGTTAAAAACCCTTAAAGTCTTCTTCATTGTCCTGGTGCTACTAGCATCCCCTTGAACTTGTATGATGTAATACTATACATTAAGAATAAACCTTTTTGACTTTTGGACGCAGATTGCTATCAGTCAACATGCTGATAAATGACTTAATCACAAGTTATGAAGGCAGCTGAAAACGCTTTAATATCACTTCAACAGACATACCAATTTTATTCATGTGCACTATAATAGGAGGTGTATACAATTTTTAAGAAATACATATTTTGTGTTTCCTTTTTAACAAATACTGACAATGAATCCAATGTGTTGTTTGTTCTGTGTCATTTTCTAGTGTGAACAAGCCTGCGATTCTGATCGTTTTTATAGTGACTGTATTAAAATGTGCGAGGTATGTATTTATTACACTTATATATTATTTATTTAGATTAGTTATTTAATATGCTATAATTATTCAAAAGTTATTGTTAAAGTTAGTAATTCCGTAGGCACATAGGAACTTATTGTTCCCTTCCGTTAGTTGATAAGACTAACTCTCAGTTCACGTGTGTATCGTAACAATCTTCGATAGGCTCAAGTTTTAGTGACACTTAGATATACAATTTGTCTATTTGTTTCATTTGTTTCTCTTCGATTGATTGATAACTACCAAAACCAAAAACAAGTCATTTTTACTAACATTGACAACAGTTACATGTTTTATGTTCTCCTTATGCAAATTTAGTTGAATGACTCATAAATAAAAGTATCGTGTAGATTCAGTTAGGGTTATGTTTTGCTTTTGGTATTTATCTGGATTCACTATTCCTGTTATCAATAAATTTGCCTAGACTTCAGTTTGCTATTGAAAAAAAGAAAGCAGAGTGCTTTACATTTACTGCCAACATATTTAATGACGAGTATGTCCAGTATTCTTTATTCTCTGTCAAATCAACATATTTATTATGATGATGAATTGGCAATTCCAGGTGTTTATCTATTCGGTATCATAAACACATTTTTGTATTTTTATTTATATACACCAATATAATAGATGCGAATGATTTATTGTAGAGAATGTATGATTTCATTATCGGAAGAAATTTGCTAATTGTATGTACAAGTCATATTTATCCAGCATAACAAATAATCCATTATTATTGAACATGCTATGCATATTACTGAAATATCTCTTGCCGCTTAGAAAAAGGTTCATGTTAATTTATTTTGCATAGCACACATCATGTTCAACAGTTGTTTCCTATATATTTCACAAGTTTGTAATTTATCTTCTAAAATAGGGCTTATTAAAATAAGTAAATTTGAAGATTACGTTTTCATTAGAGGTATTTGAAAATACATTAACAGTGGGCTGATAAATCACAAGACTTTTACAGAGAATTCTCTATCAACTTAGGAACACTGATTTCCACCATTACTTAATATGAATTTTAAAAAGGTGTATATAATATCCACGGCTTTCAGGTTGACAGATACCTATACAGACACTTCAAAGGTGGTTTATTTATGAGCTTTTATATACAGCTTGACTACTTATTAGTCAATCAGTTGGGAGATTAGTCCTTTAATTCCTTACATAACCAGACGTGATTTACGGCCTTTATTTTAGATGAGTATGGCTCATGCAAGATTAGTGTGATAGTATATTGAACAACAGAGTTCCTTTATCTACAAAGTAGGATAGAAAGATAACTTTGATTTAGTAGTTTGTACCATAGCATTTCGCTGCAATGAAATAGGACTCATCACTGTAAATTGTAAATGAAAATGAACTGCAAAACTGACAGTGATTCCACCCAGTTTAAGTGCAATCTACCATAAGTGGTAATCAGCAAAATGGTGGCATATAGGAGCATCATATCCATCAGTTTTGTCAACCTCCGCAACTGCTTGAGAGACTTCCGAAATCTGAAAAAAATGGTTAACTCACGTCTCTTAGATGCGAAAAAGATCTCACCGCCTAAATATTTTACTACATAGATCGTCTTCCTTGTCCCTCGACAATGGATAGTACTAGACAGTGCACATGCCATACATTAAGCATGTTCAGTGTTTTGCAGATGTATAGCATTACATCAAAATCCTGCGATTACCAAATTGAAAATCACACTTTTCCAGCATTATTTACCCTTTTCTCGCTATTCAAGCTTTAATACATTATGAGACATAGGGTGTTTATGATATTTTTAAATATAATGACGTTCTCATTGTGATACGGATGGATTTCAGTAAACAGCAACATAGTTAGCTTTGCAAAAACAACAGAAGAATCGTTTTATTGTTTCACGTCTGTTCACTAATATGCATTAACGTGAACACTGAGACAACCCTACGAAAATTATAACTGTTGAAGGTGCAGTTTTGGGCAGTCTGCATCCACACTGCCTGTGAGCACAACTAGTAGTTGTAGAAACATACAAATAGGTTTACATTGATGCATTCTCTTCCAAACAAATATGTCAGTTAAGCCAAATCGCAACCAATAAATTAAGGTTTTTCTTCCATTTCACTCGAAATATCTGCTAAAATTAAGATAAATGGAAAGGAGTGATATTTAGGTCGAAAACAATTAGAATCATAATTTTATAACAATAAATGTTTCTCCATGTACAATTATCTTGACAATTAATTATTTTCAGATAAGTTAATTTGAATGCCTTTTGTGTAGAGGAATAAATGGCTAAATAGAAAAAAAATATGATAAAAACCTCTAAATAATAAAAAAAAATACAATCAAACAAAAAGAATGTTTATCTGATAAAATATTTGGTAAAAAAAAATAAGCTCTTATACACGGAAGGAATAAGAAAAGACTTTCTCTCCATTTATATTTTGTGGTTCGAAAGATGATCTTCATTCAAAATTTGCGAAAGCCTGCGTGATATAAATTATTAAATGGACTGGTCGCCTTCATAAAAGATAAATAATAGATAACTAGGAGTAAGATTAGGCATTTAGCGAAATATACTACTGCTTATTGACCTTATTTTCAGAAATAAATCATGCTATATGAAGAATAACATGAAAGTGAATTTCTGCATAATCATTATTTTTTTTCTAATCAATTTCTATCATTTAGTTCACAAATTAAACAACACTTATCATTTTAAAATGGGCTCAAGTTTCCATTTTGCAAGGATGGCTACGTTGCAACAGGGGGTATCTTGAACTCAGACTATTACTGTTTATGAAGATAAGGAAAAGCATTTTGTATACTGCTGTTTATACATACTTACTAAAAAAAAATATTATTTCACTACTTTGGTTGGACACTAGTTGGTAACTAGTGTAATGTGTCTATTTCTGTGTTTTGTGCAGACTGAACCCTAACAATCTGTTTGGCAATGTGGCCAGCATTCTAGGTGGCTCGGCATCATGATGGACTTTGAAGTGTTGATATTAGATGGTTGGAGGCAATCATCATAAAAGCCTTGGACCTAGGTCTTATGCTGACTGGCACTCACCAGTCTATCAGGGCGTGCCTGAAACCTTGAAGGAACTCATGTCCCTTCTAGTGCCAGTTGCCTCCAACAATCTAGTATCAACAATTCAAAATGCACCTTGATGGCGAGTAACCTAGAATTCTGGCCACATTGCAAAATTGACCCATAGAATTTAATCTGCACTAAATAAAGGAATAGACACAGCACAGTCCAATCAAAATATCCAACATAGTCCTACAGCAGGTCGATCGCGAGCCCGAATAGCTCAGTGTTGACTTCTTAGACTACAGAATTGCGTAACGCGGGTTCGAATCTCAGAAGGGACATGAGTTCCTCCAAGGCTGCAGACACGCCTTGCTGACAAGTGCTACTTATCACGAAACCTAGGTCCAACGCTTCCTGCCAATTGTCCCCGACCAACTTATGCCAATACTTATTTCAGTACTGCTGATGTCTAGTAGAAGTGTGAAATTTGACCAAATTAGACGTTAATTTAGTCGTAATACTGTGCCACATAGTTAAGTACTTTAGCGTTATACATATATATGTATATTCGTCGTTTGCTTAGCAACTTCCATATGAGCTTTATTTGACCAAATGAACAGAAGTGCAAATTTACTGTCTGGGTTCTACTCTACTATATTGAAAACCGCATCCAGAAAGGGTTACTTAGGCATAACTTATCATTTCATAATAATTTGATATTAGCAAATGTTTCTAAAGAAAAGAAGTAATTCAGCTGCTAATATTTGTCGTTAATTTTTAAGTCTGGTGATTCACCTGGTGGTTGGTCGTGTCTTACTGGCTGTCGAGCTTTGGATGCAGCTTTGAAGAAACGTTCTGGTGATTGTCCTGAACAAATTGGACTGGCTATTCATCGTATTCCGGATTTAATTTCTGACAAGCAGGGAGGTGAAGCCTTTCCATCACAACAGCCTTCTCTTTTCCCGGGAAAAAGTGTTTCATTGGATCAAAGTAACATGGTTCTGAGATCTAAATTATCAGACAATTCTTGGTATGAACGTCATGGTAGTAGTCTGAATGAAATAAGCAGCTGTACAGTCGATGCAGAATGTCCACAAAAGCAAGACAAATGTTGTCAGTCAAAGTGCAAGCCAGCGGTGATGAACAAAGGTAATTTAATACGTTTAGTAGCTGATTTAATAGTTTAAAATGAAGTTTTACAACTGATCTCATGAATTCCCAGTGTTCACAACTACTAAGTCGAATCACTCAGTTAGACATGCATGATGAGCAAAAATATAGGAGTGAAGGCGATCTGTAAAGACAGGTTGAAAATCAATCAAGGTTGGCAGGAAAAGAAGTATAGTGCTTGCATATAGAAATACGTGAAACAAAATTTGAAAAAATGACAAAATGGTATGTAAATATTCCTTTAGTCTTCTCAGTTGAAGCATAATTCATCGAGGAATGTGAGTTATTTACCCAATCGTAGTGACAATCAAACATAGTAGAAGTTAAATAAATAATTTCTTTCCTGTATCATGTGGAACATAGGACTTCAAGCTTCAGTTTTGAGTTTGCAGTAGCAGGGATGATTTACAGGGTGAGGTTGCTAGCCATAGCCCAAACTTCCGTCTTTGTTGGAGTTAAACCATCTTAGGAGGGTAAGGGTGTACGCCGGCTGGGAACCCAATCCAGGAACACATGCATGGTTAACAAGCATTCTATCTCTGAACCACCGATTCATACATATATATTCTCTAGTTTGGTTTGTAAGGGTTTGTTATGTTTTTACGAGTTGCTCACTGATTGATATCAGTTAGAGAACCATTGCACCTGGTTTTCAATGGTTCTCTAACTGATATCCTCGTTGCTCACTGTCTGTCGCATTATCCAGTTTACCGCATTATACTTACAAATAGTATAATGCGGTAAAATGGATAATGCGACAGACAGTGAGCAACGAGGATACAGCCATAAATTTGATCCACACAAAAAACTTGGAGGATATGGACTTCGCCGATGATATATGTCTGGTTTTCCACGAACTGGAAGGTATGAAAATGAAAAGCAACAAGTTGGCGGAAGAAGCATCCAGAGAAGATAGACCTTCAAGTGAATATAGAGAAAACAGAGGTGATGAAGATTCCTGGCCAACACCAACAGCAACAATAACAACAGACAACCATCAGCATAAGTAGGAAGAGTATGAAAGAAACAATCTCCTTTACCTACCTTCCTAACTACCTAGGAAGCATCGTTTCAACTACAGGCGAAACTGATGAAAATATAAAAGTGAGGATAGGGAAAGCAAGGTAAGCTTTCATTAGTCTCAAGTCTGTGTGGAGATCAACACTCAGCATGAAAAACAGGATCCAGATTTTCAACTCCAATGTGAAGTCAGTGCTACTATACGTATCAGAGACTTGGCGAGTCATAAAGAGCATCTCAAACAAACTTCAGACCTCCCTTAGGAGTTGTCTTCGCTCAATACTACTCAAAATCAGATGGCCGGTCAGAAAAGATCAGAAACAGGGATCTCTGGCAGTGAGTGAACCAACCAGGAACCGATTGTGAAACAAATAGGCAGAAAGAAATGGAGATGGATTGGCTGGCCGTACTCTGAGGAAACCATCAAGTGACATCACTAGACAAGCCATTGGTCGAGTGGAACCCGAAAGGGAAGCGGCGAGTTGGTCGTCAGTGCGAGGGTGACTTGGAGGAGGTAATGTGAAGAGGAGATGGAAGCATGTGGGCAGACGTGGAGCCAGGTGAGAACGTTGACGGAGAACCGAACGCAATAAGGACGTGTGGCTGAAGCCCTATGTTCCTCTAGGAACTTCAGGCAACAATGATAATGATTATGCTATCTACCAACAGAGAAAGATCCGAATGTGTTATTGACGTAGTGATTTAGTGTGTTTTGTTGTAACACAGATTTTTCTTAGGGTTATATTTTCAGTTGCCTTTGCTCATCATTTGTCAATAGGATATTTATCCATTAGGATGTTTGAAAAATAAAAGCATGCAGTTAAGGTAAAACAACCTAAAAGACTTTTTCATGAAGAGATTGTATTCCTTGTTAAATTAACTTCACAGCCTTGACCACAAAACGAGATCCGTACTTCTTTTCCGGGAAGTGGGTCCTGGAATACTACATAATAAGGTCCTTACTTAATCAGATAGAAGTGATCATTTGCAAGTTCTTCATGTATGACTATCACAACAATAATTTAGACAACCTAATAACTAACTAATGATTTATGTTCTTAAATTAGCCTTAGAGTTCTATTGTGCATCTTTTGTATCATGACAGCTATTCTTCCACCAATCCCCACCGTACGCATCTTAGAAGAAAAACATCCTCCTTCGTTTTTCGTTTCATGGGATAGTGGCGAAAATGCGGCGAACATTTCCAGTTATCCAGTGGTTTACGTTCTACAAGTCAAGTCTTATTTTGGTCCAGAGTTCGATAATCGAATGTCCAGTCCTTGGAAAACACTAGTGATGGTGAGTATCATTTTATCTTTATTTTAAGAAATTATCTCGGAACAGCTATCCTCAACCACAATAAAATCATCTTCTGAAGAAAAAACAAAGATTTTATAGGTTAATCTTAATATTCACTTAAGTAAACGGAAAATAACGAAGTAGTAGGAACTATAAAGTAGGCGTTCATTATTAACGAAGATGAAATTTTATCGTCATTTCAGTTTTGTTGAGTAAATTTTACTTTTCTAAATTTGATTCTGTCTGCATAGTTTTCAAATGAAGCTTATTACATCGTTCTTATAAAATGACCATTCAGTAATACCACCCGAAGAGAATATCAGAGGAACTGTTTGACTTCAACCCAGTATTTGAACTAATTTGGTGCATGGTGGCTAACAGTGGAACGCAGGATGCACTTTTCATTCTATTTGGACACGTTACCTTGGTGTGCCTGAGATCCCCAAACCTCATACGCTTTGTTTCAACATTTCAGTAGATGCCAAATATTTTGGTCCAATCAATCAGCAGCAAAATCAAAATTGATTAGAGCAAATAATTAGTTTTTAAATGATAATAATGATCGCCTCACACTTTGAATGTTCTTGGTTACGTTAGGTGCGTGTACCGTTAAAAATCCAAAGCTAAGGAACTAACTTCTATGACTTCTCATTTCTTCCAGTGATGTCGAACAACTGGACCACTGAATTTTTCTATAATGATTGAATGTCAGTATATTCACTTCGAAGGAGAGATTTCCGGGCACTGTTCAGAGGATCTTAAAAGTAAAATAATAACAATTCAAATCTTTGTGATTTTGAGATTTTTCTGGTCGGAGTTGGTTTCTAACAGAATTTGCCTTAGAATCAATTACACTAAGTAAAATTAGTAATCTCAGGTAAACGAGACCGAGCACTTCGGTCCAATCAATCGACGGGAAAATCAAAAATTCAATTCAATAATTAATATGACCCGTTGCACAAGAGGTGGCTCTCGTGGCCCAAGTGGTCTAGTGGATAACGCTTTGGCGTTCGAAACTATGGGTACTGGGTCCGAGCCTCGGTGGGAACATCATCACTCACTGAGAAATGCAGGTACATCCAGCTGACGAGTCCCAATTAGGACGAAATGCACATCCTGGATTCCACTGCTAGCCACCATCCACCGATTGTATACTAATTAAATACCCGGACATCGTCGAAGCATCTGCACAAGAAGCCGACATGTCAACCTGATACCAAGCACTTCGGTCCAATCAATCGACGGGAAAATCAAAAATTCAATTCAATAATTAATATGACCCGTTGCACAAGAGGTGGCTCTCGTGGCCCAAGTGGTCTAGTGGATAACGCTTCGGCGTTCGAAACTATGGGTACTGGGTTCGAGCCTCGGTGGGAACATCATCACTCACTGAGAAATGCAGGTGCATCCAGCTGACGAGTTCCAAAATAGGACGAAATGCGCATCCTGGATTCCACTGCTAGCCACCATCCACCAATTGGTCTTATTGATGGTTACAGAAAAACACTGTTTCATAGATTTCAGGTGTTCTTGATAAAGTATACTCTAATCTTGTGATAGATAGTAGAGATAACCACATTCCGTTTTAAAGAACACCGGAAATATGATATATTGCAGAACGGGCAACATAGTTGGTTTTTGTTTACTGAATTCCGCAAAACTTCACTTTCGAAGTTATAACTGTTGCCTAGGTAGATAGTGAGAGATCACCCCTGAGACCAGTCAGCTTAGAGGATTCAAAGTCACCGTGTAGACACTATCTTACTTAATAGATCAGAATATATTTGAGAAATTTTTAATTTCTGTTTATGTAAGTGTATTGATTAGGCAATGTCACTAATCCACATATGTTAAATGGACATTAAGATAAATCTGTACGGTACAAATAGTATTTTGATTATCATTATTATAGATTATTTAGAGTGGAATGAGAATCCAACTACTAAACAAAAGAAGAAATGGTTTCTAGACAGAGTGAAATAGATAAAGTAGAAGAATTAGTAAAAGAGTTTTATTCATATATCAGGTTAAAGCAAAGCAGAACATATACATTTACCCACGTATTATCTCAACGGTCTATGTTCTTCAGTAGTATGTTAGCAATGAATAACTTATCTTACAAAAAGATATACAAATTTGCGTGATAGTCCACTCCTGACAAGTGGTCATAATATTTTCCAATTAATGTAGTAAAAGAAATTCAGTTATTGACAATATTTGACAGACAATACACCTGCTATTTTTTCTATTTGGTCGATATCGCACAAATGTGTATATTAATCAAGTTTGTTAATTACTTTGTTAAACACTAGGTAGGTTACCTACGGATTAAAATGAATATATACTACGTGATTTCTACCATTGTACATGCGTCGGTGGCACAGCGGTTATGACTCTCGCCGACCATACACATGGTCCGGAATGCGTACCTTGCTGACGCACATCTTTTATCTATGGTCGGCCGGCAAAATTTGGGCTACCGATATCACATTCTGAAAATTCCATACGTGTACTAAAAAATACGGTGTGGAATCAGGCTGTAATCAAAAATAAAAAAAGTGTCAGTACACAAAACTGTAGGGGATGACAGTGATTACTGACAGATAGCGGGTTTCAAAGAGAACTAAATATACAGGTTTAACAGAAATAAACAATAAATTAGAGGGTAAATGAAAGTTAGAAGGCTTTTCCTACAGTTCTTCTACAATTAATAGGTAACCGAAAATTCAAGATGAATGAGGTATACTGCAGTTTCATGAAGATTATTAATTGACTCCTTTGGGGCAAAAGCGGCACACATTAAAAATCAGTCATTATGTATTTTGTTTCAATAAATATGGTAGACACGTTGATCATCATTTTCACTTTTGGTGGGCTAGCATTCTGTAACTTCATATAGTTCAACTGCTGCAACATTTATCTTTGATCGTCAAGATGAGCGAGCGAAAATTCTGAAAGCTGCTTTGTCCATGTCAATGTACATCTAATTTACTAGAGGTTTCAAGTCGAAATGTTTAAATTAGGCATTTTCAGCTTGCCTGCTAACTAAATTCAGTTACTTAGTCCCTGTTTTGGGCTGATTGGATTTCTAAAGACCCAAACTTTCTGAGCGAACATCCACTGAATTTCGATTGCAAAGTCATATGCTAAGTGAATTATCAAATAAACCCTTGTAAGTGATATTAGTGTGAACGCATTTTTTGGCTCGGCTTTTAAATAATGCATATTATATCGTAGTAATAGTAGTAACGTTAATCATTTATTTCACACAAATCGTGGTCACAGGATTTCGAATGTTACTTTTTTTTGTCAAATGTAAACTCTCAGAATTACTGGTTAACATAAACCATTTGAACGGTAGTCTAATTTAGACAAAGGTTAAGTGAAAAAAATGAAATAAAAATAGTTCATTTTTAATACAGATATAAATTACATGGTATATACGTTTATGCGTATATTTATTTAGTTAGCGAATTAATCATCTTCCAGAATGACAATAAGAATCTTTTATTGATCGAAGGAAACTTTTCAGTGTTTAATTTTCATGGTAGTCATTTTTATGGTGTGTAGTGCTTATCCCATCCTACCTTTAATAATTATTTTTTACATGTTAGAGAAAGTTGTCATTAGTGTCATGTCATTTGAACGTCGCTTTGTATCAGTTTGTGTACTGCTTGTGTTTCATAAATAATATCAAAGTATGTATTTAAATGACTGTCAAATTTCATAAAAAGGAAATAAACAGTGTTAGATAGAAGAGTGGATTCTTGCAAAACAACTTAAATATAGACATTGTGATACATTTTAATCAATTTCATACGAAGTGTCAAGGTATGCTTTAAAATTCGTCATAACTGCCTTTCCAGGCATTCAAACATTATATGCATTATTTGGTTCAACTGGCTACTAATATAGCTATTATGTTAACTTTATTGACTCTAAGTAGAGTATTCTGTGTTAGCATTGCAATCTCCATTCTTCTGAATTCGTAATAAAGAGCACAGTAAATTGACATAGTGTGCTGGCAGTTGGAGATCCGAAATAGAGTGCAGCTTCAACAGCCTACACCGTCAAAAATGTGAGTTACCCTCTAAGGGAATACCTGTGATAATTTTACACTGAATAGAATAGATTCTATGCTCTTGTCAAATGCATTTCTGAGTTAAGCCATACTGCTGTAATTTCATGTAGGATGTTCATGTAGAAGTGATTTTGGACCTGGATTTTAGACCTTCTTCAATTGTTAAAACTAAGCTCTTATTATTTACATTATGCATCTAAATTTATTCTGCATAATAAAATATCTCATGAATTTATAATGAAACCAAGAAGTGATTTTAATAACAGACTAGAAGAAAGTGTAAGAACAAGGACTATGACTTCTAGTCAAGCGTGATAATGATTTCATTTATATTTACGCTTGAGACTTAAACTGTGAGGTCAGTGATTCGATAATTAAACAGGATTTTGTGGTCAGGGTCACCAAATAAATTGTCTACCGTTATAATAAAAGAAAGCAGTTTGTCTACTGTCACAGAATATGTAGCAGTAAAATATCACTAAGTGCAAACCTATCAATTTTATAAATGATCTAACTTCAGATTTCAGTTAAAAAAATAATAATCTCTTTTGAAGGCGGTTAGCCGACTAATGCTAGACTGAATTCCGTAGATGAAACGAAAATTAAAATTATAATGATACTTATGAAAAAGTTGCATATCTGATACTTACAAACTTCTTTGTCAACAGTAGTTTTTAGTTTTACAGACGAACCAGTTGAAAAGCTTGACCGTTATCACAATGGCTTTATTGATCTTTCTTTCTTTAGCTAAAAGCTAACATTTTTCTATTCCTTTACGTTCTTAGTGTAACATAGGGCTTCAAGAGGCTAGAGGTTTGAAGTTTCGCTAGCAGTGATGTTTATTTTTTAAGTCGCTAGCCTCATGATCAACCTTCCCTCTTTACCAGTTTTACTACTGGTTTAGTGAGGTAAGGGAGTGCGTCGTCCAGGGACCGAACCCCAAACCACATGCGTGCTCAGCGAGCATTCTACTGCTGTGTCATCAACGCACGAAAGTTAACATGCACAATGATAATTGTGAATTACTCGGTAATAAAAACAGAAAGTTGTATGACGAATGCGTGAGGAATTTCAGGCATAGCACTTAGTAAACCTTTCCTTTCGTTCCCTATCAGTTCATTAAGAATTTCTGTATTACGAAGTAAAGCATTGGTTCTTATTTCATGAAAAATCCTCATCTGAACAGTAATAGAGATACGATCAGTAGTTCAGCGAAGAGTCTCTTTTCAGAGAATTTATTTTCACAGTTGTGCGAGCACAACTCTTTCATCAAACCATTCATTTTATTACCCTCTTGTATAAACATCCAATTCCTCTGAACGCTTTTGTATTACGTGACTCCACCAGAAACATAGTAATCATCACCCCCCCCCCTTAGTTATAACAACCGTAACCAACTGTATTTTCATTTGACAAATTTAATGTACACACACACACACACAAAATAACCATATATATGTATCTGCGGTTGTATAGCTGTGAAAATGAATTCACCGAAAACAGACTCTTCGCTGAACTTCTCTTTATTGGTTTTCATCTCATGTTTTGATACTTAGCTGTCTGATAACAGTTTCTAAACTAATTCATGACTCCTGCTTACGTAAGGAAATATCAGCTGAACATTGAGGAATATGTTTTCGCTCCTTTTGTAGGAAGAGATGTATAAAATAACCATAAAATGTTTTGTAGACTATTATAAAAGTGTAGGCTAATAGCTATGAAACTGACTGCAGATATACTGGAAGTCTTAATTCGTTTTTTTTTTTACTAGAAGACTGAATAATATTTTAAACAGTCTGTACAAAATTTTATTTATATGAGGTTAGTCGAGCAGTAAAACTATTATCCCTCTGTAATAACAGCAGTTATCGATTTTTCTATTGAGATTCCCGGGATAGAAAGTGTATGTTTTAAATCCTCAGTGGTGAGAGATTATTATCTACCTTTTATCTTTCCCAGGACATGAAAATTTTCTACTGCTTTTATTTTGTTTCCAAGATGACAGGTGAAAGCGTATAACTAATGTTTTTAGTTATGTGTGTATATCATGTATTTGAACATAATTTCTCAAAACTTAGGCAGTAAACGTGAGAATATAAAACAAGATTAACACAAGGACTGAAACCTCACCACAGATTTTATTCGTAAACATAAGTGAATAAATACCATAAAACGAAATAGCCCAAGTCATACTTTTAAGCAATATCCGAGTTCAGTTTATGAAGCAGGTCTGTTTATATTTCCACTGAGACCTGATATCTAAAGAACATTTGAAAGAACAAATAATAATTTCCCATTTTTTGCAACTTTACTGCATGATAATAAACATAAACTCTATGTTTAAGTGAGTGAGCGCTTTCCAAAGTCATTTCGTAAAGTGGGAAAAGATTCCGAAAACTACAAGTGAAGAAGCGATTAGAAAACATTTTCTACCAAATTTTTCCTCACATATTTAATTAGTCAATCAATCAATTAGACAATTACGTGAATTGAGATGATTCCGTCTTCTAATTATCTTAAATTTAATTAATTGGATGTCTGAATGAAGAAGAATTTGTTTACCCAGGTTTGGTAATTTGTCTAATGAGGCTCAAATGTTATATTTAACTCTAGCAAATTCTATTTTTGTCTATTAAACACAACATATTTATAAGACTAGTGAACTAAAAAGAATACAGCCGAGAATGTAACTTGGGAAACACGTGTAGAATGTTCTATGTTTGAAAAACCTATCATGAAGTCTGCTTTGATCAAGATTCCTTTCGTATACATGTTCTTTACTTCATCAAATTTCAGATGTGAATATTATTCACGTGCAAGTCTGCCATATAAATTTTATAAAATGACTGCTTTGGTTACCGATATTTATTCATTTACAGACCATGACTACCAATAAACTCAAGCTCTTTTACCTTTTCAGTCAACTTTGAAAGGCGCTCAGTTAAGTGATCCAGCTGTTGGTTGGTGGTACCAGTTCCAAGTAGCAGCAGTCAATCAGTGGGGTTCACTTGGCTTTGATGTCCCTTCCCCTCCTGTCCAGCTGACAACATTACAACCTAGTCCTCCATCACCTCCAAGGGATTTAACTGATGAACTTCTAACATTACAAGCTAATGGGAAAATAAAACTGCAGATTCATTGGAGTAGTCCTGCAAAAACCATACTGCCAGTTACAGAATACAGAGTAAGTATTTGTTTTTAAATAAAACCAATTAAAATGTAATTCAATTTTTTGTTGTTGTAAACGGTGAGTTCACTGATATGCTATAAATCTCCTTGCCCATTGTGGAATTTTTAATGCGATTTCCTCTTCAGGGTCATCGTAAAGTGCCATTTTTAAGCAAGATATGAATGTGAGTAAATATCTGTACAATTTCTACACCTTTAGATATAGTGATAAACATTCTGCATTTGTATTCTTAAATTTCGACTAATGTAATTCCCTTTCCAGAATCACTTAGATGCCATCTTCGGTATTCGTTCTTTAAGTTAAACAGTGAACAAAGAGGTATGCATACACGACAAGATCAAAACTATAAGAAATACTTGTTATGACTTGGTTTTAAGCATTCTGGTTAACAAGCCTATATTGAGTGACTTAATATGATTATGAGCAATAAATTGTGCTCAAAACGTCATCAGTTAATATTACTGTATAACACTGTGTGATTTATCGAAATAAAATCTCATCTATGATGGAGTTATACTATGCCACAGTGCCCAAGTTTTATACATATATCAATATCAACATTTTAGTGATATTGTCTCTTAAAACCATATACATTTCAAAATAATTTTTTCATGTTTTCTAAATTCTTTGTCAAAATATCCTGCTTTTTATAGTCAAACAAGTGGAAAACAAGTAGAAAAGAACACAACAAATGAAATTGATGTCAACACTTCATCCTCTATCGACATAACAAAATGGGTGATCAACCTCTCATCAAGAGAACTAAGCTCTAGTGAGATAAAAGTACTTGAGAAAGGACTAAATTTTAACGTAACAGTTAATAAATTAAAACCAGAGGACGTTATTCCTAACATAGAAGCAGCACTAGGTCCAATAGACAAGACAACAGCAGAAGAGGTTAGAGCACAATGTGCGTTAACCCTGAAAAATCAAAAGAAGGCAAGATCGAACTTAACAAAATCAGAAAGGGAAGCTTTAATTAGTCTAAAACAGGATAAAAATATTGTCATCGCAAAAGCGGACAAAGTAAACGCCACCGTAGTTCTGAATAAATCTGATTATATCAAGAAAGTCAGTGAACATATTGAAACGGGTCCATATGAGGAAATTAAGAAGCCTGTAGATACAATAATGAATAAGGTAAAGAAATCTACAGCGGAATTAGTACGGAGAATCAAACAAGTGGAGCTAGATCACTTTGTCTACTGATAATTCGGAAGTTAACGGCCCCGCCAAATTCACTGTTATTCATCAAAATTAGCTGGTCACTTATTTCAGCTGACTATTTTTAGCCTACTAGTGAGAATATTACACTGATTTGTATTGTGAATACGAACTGAGACGGTTTGTGCTTTTGAACAGCGCTATGGACTGAGAATTAATTGAGGCAAGTGGGGTTTGTTTACCATACACTAAGCTACAAACAATCTGACAACACATGAATTTGTAGAACTGTTAATGTAAAATTGAAGAATGTCAGTGTGAAATGTACGAGTCAGAAAAATGACCATGCCATGAATATGAAGATTTAAAGCCAGTAGTGTTAGGGAAGTCCTTGCATTTGTAAAAATGGGGATGTAAAGTTTCGTCATAAATGATAATGGGTGTATAAGAACTGAACTTAATCAAGGTTATTTGTCTTTGGATCTACGAAGGCGAATAGTCAGCACCCACTGAATTATTGTTCATTTACAGATAAGTTGGTGGTTATAACGGTCTGTAGCATAACAGCTCTAATATCACTGTTGTTGTCTTCGAAGTTCAGTTATTTAATCCTCACTGATATGATTCTGCTCATAAGTACGCATAATGTTTTGAATCCATCAGCATATGACAACATGTTCTAGAGTGTCATATCAGCAACCTAAGTGCTGGGTACGCATGAAATTTGCAAATTTGCCTATTTCGAATTCAGATGTCCCATTTATAGGCTAATATATTTCTGTAATTTCTTTTATTAAGTATATTGAGATAACTATTTATGATATTTTCTCAAAGTGACTCAGACATCTATTAAGTCTTTCTCTATTTAGCACCAATTACACTTACAAGAGGAATAAGTATATTCAGCACTTTTCTAAAAGTCTCATAATTCACCTAGGATGTTAGAGATGTTACATTCCTCCAAGTATATATAATTTCCTGATGATGAAATAATCTGTTTTTTCATTAATCGTTTTATAAGTCGAAAAAGTCTTAAAAAAACCCCTCGTATTTCTTGTAAATTTGCTTACAAATAAGGTTTCTTGGGGTCCTGATTTGGCAAATATAGGAAATAATCATGAATTCACTGAGAAACCCACTCAGTTTGTACATACGCTTCCATCCGTAAGTAAATTTGGTTTTCCTTAATGATTTATACATGAAAATACTTTAATTATTATTATTTTTTAATGAAGAGTAGAAACACAATGTCAGTCTGGAAAAATAATCATGAAATAGATGACAATTTTCACAGTGGTTAGTTATTTTACTTCCTACAAAACGTAATTGTTATTTCATCGCATCACATTAACTTAGTCTATGCCATTATCTTCGAATTGAATGATTTATTTGTCTGTCTATACGACAGTTTACTATGGATAGTGGAGCAAGATGAATTTTATGTGGACATAAAAATGCGTAATACTGAAAATTTCACTCTAAACAAAAGTTACTAAAGCTTTTTGTTGCTGAGTTATCTAGGTGATAATGAATTTATTACTATGCTTAAATTCACTCTCGTGTATGCATAAACTGATCAGAGTGATTATTCAGGCAACATCAACACATTTGCATAAATTTGAAAAAGTTGAGTACTTGTGAACGATATGAGTGGCGTAAATAATATAATAATAATAATAATAATAATAATTTTCATGGGAAAAAAAATGATAAAATAATAGAGTTTCTGAGAGGACTCTCTTTGTATCATAAACAAAGATTTTACATGAGAAAATAATAATTAGTTATGATAACAGTTTCAGACGCGCGGTGTAATAAAAATATTGTAAAAAGGTAAGTTGCCATAAAAAGCAAGATGAAGAGATTCAGCCAACCAAAATGTAGGCAAAATGTGTTACCCTGAAGGAGAAAGACAACCTGACAGTTTAGAAAATATTATGATTTTCACAAATATATGGATGAATGTAAAATTGGAACTTTGTATTTGCAAGATTTGAAATCCCTACCTAAAAATTACATTGATAACGTCGTTTATATAACAGTGAAGTCTTCCGGTGAAGTATGTGAAGGTGATAATTTTTCTCCTTTATCATTCAACTAACTTCTTTAACTGTTGTTTGACATTTTTTACGAGATATTACCTGTTAGTTAATCTAAATGACCTAAAATCTTATCTCAGAGGATTACTTCAGTTACCGTAAACACATACACGAATATAGAACACAACATCATGAACAGAATGAAGCCAATAGAAGTTTAGTCTTCAAATATGTATTCAAACATTAAGTTTAGCACTTCAGGTCAACAGAGTAACAGGAATTTCACGAGATATTTCCCTTCAGTCAATCTGCATGTGAATAAAGGATCAGAATGGTTTCATCAACCAGTTATTTTATTTCAGTCTGCTGAAGTTTCGCTCAAATGGACCATTCATCCAGTGATAATTTTACTTTTCATCAGTTTAGTTTTATACTGTTGACACACAAGTGAAGTTATCAAAGTTTACAGGAAAAACAATGTGTTAGTCACGGCAAAACTTAATGTACTGGTTTTCAGTGTTTATTGTCATACTTTTTTACTACGTCGGTTCAAGTCTGTCATTCATTCTTACAATCATAACCGAATTTCAACTGGCATCGGTTCAGCATCTACTTGGCTGTATGTCGTGCCATTCGAGATTTTGCCTGAACGTGTTTTATTTACTATTGCCATAATATTAGTCCTTTTACAGCTTCTTCTGGAGCACTGAGGGAGTTACCAAATGTGACTGGATGAAACAAGTATTCGTGTGTTCGTCACTCTCGAAAGAGCTAAACAACAGTTTTGAACTAGCCTAAAATTTGCATTCATGTATAACGTTGATTACTGAGCGAACATGAAACTTTTAACATGCAAAAGTTTTACGTTTTATTTAGTGCAGCATAGCATATCAGGAAAACTACTGATAATTTTATTCTATACTGAGCTGACTGTAAGCGATTTCATTCTGTGACAGATATTCACTCAAAATCTTTTTTTAATTCATAAAATTCAGTGATTGCGCATTAGTTTCTTTTTTGTGTTTAATTATTTTTACTGATTATTTTTATTGTTTTCTGCTAGTCTCAGACAAGTTATCAACTGACAAATCTCTATCCAGGATTACTTTACCGGATTCAGGTGAGTTGTTTTTAAATTAAATTTGTGTATTCATAGAGACTACCTGTTGTAAGTATGCGCTGCTTAAGAACTTATAAAGTGTATTATTGATGAATAATTCTGAATTTCATCAACCGACTACGTAAACCGATATCCATGCTGAAAATTTCATACTCGTACCAAAAATATAGTGTGGAATCAAGCTGTAGTAATAAAAAAAAGTTAAAAAAAATAATTTCCTACTCTACAGTAGAGGCATATTCTATTGAAGAAGACTCCATCATTCAAGGACATTTATCACTCTCATTACTTTTGGCAGGAATTAGATCACTTGTCTCAACAGGTCTTAAATAATATATTTTTACTGAAAAAGTTTTCTTAAATACGAATTTATCCATATTCTTAAATATGAAAAGCACTTGTAATGTATACGTGTAGGTGAGTATATCAGTAAAAATATAAGAGACAAGTGTAAAGGAGACCTTAAAAGAGTACTGGGGACGAGTTAGTGGTTTTAAATTTTCAGTGATAACAAAGTTAAATATAACTTCACTAATGAATGCGCATTTTTAAGTTATGCTTTCTAAATGTTTTTGGTTTTCAAGGTGATAGCGATGAGTGAATGGGGTTCAACACAGCTTAGATCACAACCAAACACTTTGTTCATTCATACTCCGTCTGTGGATTCGATTCAGGATGAAGGAGATGTTGCTTTAAATACCTACCTTAAAAATTTTGATTCTAATACTCCTCAGTATCAGAAGGGCATGAAATACTCGAATGCTTTCAGTGGGATCTCTCCAAAAGAAAACTCTGGTTATATTTCAAGTAAGCATTATGTTATATTTGTAGCTAGGTGTTTATTTTTTGATGATAGAAAAAATCATATCGCGTAATTCCCACTGTTGAAGTAGTAATTAGATGAAATGTTTTTATGCCGGATTTAGTCTTCAAAATTAAGTTATGGAGGAAAACCGTTTGACAAGGAATCTAATAAATACTACAGATTTTTCTAGTTTTTGGGACAACTTAGTTTTGAACATGTGGATAAGAGTTGACAAGATTTTTCGAGAAAATGAGCTGAAGTTTATTGGACTGTCTTGTTTGTGTTCATTACGAACTAATCTTACCTTATGCATGCTCTCCGTTATACTGAAATTGATTACCTCCGTTCTTAGTCTTCTTGTTTCAAAATAACTGGCGATGCGGTTTCATCAGATTTTACCTAGGTATTATGGCCGGCACTCTGAAGTGTCTAATGGCCTCCTCCATATTTTTCTGGATTAACCGGCGGGAAGAGTGTCTGACTTCGATAGAATATAATTATAACTACTATTAGACTGATAGAATGTTCTTCAGATGAAAGTTGATTTTACTTGCCATTGTAAGACCGAACTTCAGCACATTAGTGGTAAATCAACATAAGAGCCATTCTCCTTACATTTGTTCTTCAAAATCAAGTGTATAGTATTTATAATATAACTGAAATTAATTCTTTATTTGTATCAGACTTAGTATGTGGGATTTTAGCGGACGAAAATAATTTCCTTAATTTCTAAACTTAGTAATGACATCTTTTGTAGGACTCAGTATAAAAATGAATAATTCACTTTTTTCTAGATTCAGGCCAGCAGGAAGCAGCGTTCGTTTGCAACGGAACCAGTAAGAGTTTGGTTTTCAAAGGCCCATTTTCACAAGGATCACTAGGACCTTTAAGTTCCATGACGACTGAATTGTCAATTAAAACAGATACCGCTGTTTTCGACGGACGTGACCTAACAGCTGAACTTTCAGTATTTGAGAATGAAGTCTTACGTGGTCCCACGATGGAACTGCATCAGCAGTCAGGTGAGCGAATAAAGCAAATGTTGCATGTACAATAATGCATTTTTAAATTACTTCATTATAAACTTTCTTCAGGGATTTAACGGCTATGTGGTACACAGAGAAAAGAAATTTAGTGAATTGGCTATTATAAAAGTGACACTGATTTTATTGTGCTTATAATAAGCACAAAGAATAAGGTTGATGAAGAACATTAAGTGTTTTTAATATGCATATCACTGTCCTGTTCCTCACATACCTAAATCAGCAACAGTACTGCCAAAGACCAAGGAGTACTAAACGGTTATTTTGCACTAATTTAGACCTTTTCAATGCTGTACCCTTAAGTCCTGAGATGACTGCCTCAATATTTAATCATTATGTTAAACCCCAACGGTATGTGCTTCCCATTCAAACTACCACATACTTTCATGTGATATATGTGTACCTTCACAGTTTCCGTTATGTAATATCAAACCGGAAAACAGTTTTTGCCAGCTAAACCAAGTGTACACTTATACGGCCAAACACAGTGTCCTAAAATTGGTGGAATGACATTTATCTATTGTCTTTGGCTTGACTTGTAGTGAATCCTAATATTATAGATTAACGGAATTACTCGTGCTACATTAAGATGGTGATGAAGGAAGTTCTTAAAATTGTAGAATCACTACAACTATGAGTAGAAGCCAGTATACAGGATAAAATTAAAGCGGACAATAAAATTATATAACCATATTCAAATGTCTTATACTGTTGACAAACCTCTGAGGACTGAATTTCATTTAAATTTTATTAATTATAATTAAGGACGTGAAGTCGTATCTTCTAACACGAGTTAACAGCAAAAATGCAATTCAGTTTTGGCGGTCACTATAATTTGAATATTTTATACCAAATTATCGAATAATGAAAATTTCGAAGTGAAAAATAATTAAATTATGTGTACTCCTTTATAGGATTTCCCTTTCACTCGGCAATTATCACAACTATATGACTAAGTCAAGTATTGTGTGGTTGGTTAACTGCTAATAAAACAAGCATGAACCTGATGATTTTGTGTAAAGTGAAATCGAAACTTCGTTTAAATAATTTCCATACCACCATCGTTTTTTTGTTAGAATCTTGTACTATCTTGTTTCTAATTGACTCTTCAAATACGAGCAGTTATGATAAGTCGAAACACAATTCAATTTCTCTTTAATCAGGTGAAGTCACAATTCATCATTGTGCGATTATTTAGATTAAGTGGCCAGTGTTCCGAAGCTACAGTTTTTGTTAACATAGCATTTAAGGCATTGTCAGTGTCTCATGATGGTTCAGACATTACTTGTACTGTGAATTTTATTACATACAGAAAATATTGTGGATTTAAGTGAATCAGTGTACATTTCCAAAGAAAACCCCTAAACTTCCATTGTTACGTTTAGCTTTTTCCATAAAGCAGTAAAATAATACTAGGTGTACTAAACATTATGCGCAACAAAAACGTTAGAAATGATGATGCAAAGCAAAATAAACTTTTTGTTTCATTTCACTGTGTTGGATTTCACACTCATATTCATGTATTACACTAGTGTAGAGTAAGTGTTAGGAGAAGATCCCAACACCACCAGTGAAATATTTACTCAACATATTTTGGCAGATACTGTGAAATTAACAGATGAGGCAAATTAAAAAGTTAAATGATATACAAACTTTCTGTCCTACTGAATTAAAAGTGAATAAAGTTTTATTTGTGTACTTTTCACTTATTTTAGTGAGTCCTCGCCCAATTCTTGTCCGATGGACACCTCAAGTTTGCATCGAAACAGTTATTGTGACAGGTAGTAACCTGGATGAGACAAATGCTTTTCAGTCGGAAACATTAATTGCCAATAACCTTGAACAGTTCACCAAACCATCGTATATACACGTGGAAAAAGAAAACGGACGTAAAGAGTCCCTTAGATCAAGTGAAAAATATGTTCTACTGAATCCCGTCAAACAAGGAGTTGATAATTATGCAGATGATTCAAAGCAAACAAAATCAATCTTAAGACATGCGACATTAAAGTTAACAAATTTATACTTCAACTGCAGATATTTGATAGAACTATTATCTGATAAAGAAGATCAATCCAAACGACCTGATCAAATCTTTCAGTCAACTTACACATCAAAGTATAATTTGGAATTGTCGGCATGGTTGTGCACACCATCATGTTCTACGGTGAAATTAGCTTCATGGATTAAAAAGCCAAATTGTCCTGGCACGACACAAGGTTGGTTTACTCTTAGCTCTGTTTATTTCTTACTTGGTCGTTCTACGGCAAACTGAGTAAAGCCAATAAGTACAGATTTACTCAAAAACCAACATCACATTAAAAACCAATGGAAATTAGGGAGAACAGACATAAAAAATATGACTGTGAGAGACAAATAGAGTTAATCTGTGTAATTCTTCAGCAAACTTTAACCTAAAATTCCGAGATATCATCGTCACTCACTAATGCATCTGTAATGATTCTAGATTACATGTTTTTTATGCATCAGTGTATCGAATCAAAAGAAACTGACAGTGGAAGATATGGTTTCTCCTAAGGATTAGAACACACTTTTGGAGTCATCGCAGTAAAAATGACTTGAATATGTAAAATAAAAGTTTTGAAAAAATTCCGTTTACAAGCGACCCAAAAAAACGCTTATTACAAATTTCAAAAGACTGATTACTAAACAAAGAATATTCCTTTCGATAAGTGCAGAAACTAGTGAAGAAATTATCAAAAAGGATAGTCTTTGTTTAGTAATCAGTCTTTTGAAATTTCATCTAAAGTTTTAAGTACCGATGTGAAATAAATCTTTAGAGTAGTTTTATCAAGAACATATGTATAAAATGCAGACTGAATAAGGAAATATTTTTAAAGTGCATTCCGTCTTGAACAGAAGTCATTCAGGGCATAAATAAAATCTGAGAGTGCAAATGAGAGTTAAATACATACGTTTTGAGAAAAAACCCACCGAATCAAATGATTTATAAATGTTAATTTATGCATGTGGAGAAGCTCCTAAATATAACTTTCGACCCATAGTTGCAACTGGAGCAGTATCACACACACTTCATGTTTGCAACTGCATTATTATTTCTTAAATGACCTTTACTGTTGGTAACAGCATCTATTTTTAAAAAAACAGTTTTAGATATTATATCAGAACCGCAAGATGTATCTTATAAGCAAATTTCTATCGGGCCAACAATCAGTTACAACATATCATGGAAGTCAGGCGTCCTCAAGTCAAAATCTGATAGCACTGCTGCTAAAGAAAACTACAGTGGCAAAACAAATAAAATATTTTTTCCTGTGCATCACAGGTAGGTGATTTCATGCTTTTATCTGTTATTATTAAAATGTAGTATGTATATTACACTTATGATTGGTAATTTAACATTCAGTATATTCGTGGAATGTATTATATTACCATTTGTTCTAAGAGTACTCTATTCCGTATTTGTAAACCCCAATATGGTCATCAGCTTAGTTAATAGCCTGGATTAAAGCCTTTCGAAAAATAGAGCTTATCATGCGATTATTTGGTTACTTTAAACATATACTGATTTGTCATCAGCACTTCCTAGAAAATGTTAACCAACCAGTTGGACTGGGCGGAAGATTATTCTTATTGAGTACTGTAAAAGGATCAAAATGTGTCTGTTTCTTAATAGTCGTTCGTGCTTCATTACGCTGTGATTTAACCACCTACAATTTAGCGACACATTGAAAAATCCCCACCAAACCCTTGCCTAAGTCAATTATTGAGTTGAAAGTATTAGCCTTGTCTAAGATACTTAAATTTCTACCAAGCAACTACTTAGTCACCACATTCAATGACATTATGTAAATTGTTAACAAGATCTCATTGTCATTGTTTCACATGACATTGAAAAAAAAATTTCTGAAAAGTCAGAAGATATACAGTATGTGTTTGGTGATGTTTGATATGCGATGTGAGTGTCTATGTAGCAATAAATTAGCACCTAAATCAATTAATCTTATGTCATGTTTTAAAGATGTAACCAAATTTGAATTTATTTCTTTGATTTCAGTTTTATCAAGCCAACTTGAAGTTTTACGGTGACTAGCCAATTTTATTTATGCAGATAGGTTTTATTCGAAACATTTTCTAGAGACTAGTTATATAACAGTGTTAAAGCATTTTATATTTGACCTGTCTGACAAATGACAATGAAATTTGTTTGTATGGTCCCGAATGCATGAAGGATGACACATCTATAATTCATTTCAAGTGTAAAGCTTTGTAAGTTGTTGTTAAATGTTACCAATAAGAGACAACTTAGCAGGTGTTGGCTAATCTTTGTATTAACTTAGTGATTGCCTTACAAATAATCTTTATAAAGAAGAAATTCTGTATCAACTGCTTACGAGGATTGTTATTTATAATGTTAAACTGAGTAAATTACTATGAAACAAATAAAATGCAACCTTAAGAAATTATAGTACCCTATCTGGACTTAAATGATGTGAAAACTTAATAAATTCTTTCATTTACCTTTCGGATGAATTCAACTATTTTGCTTCATAATTCATGAATTAAATTTATCTATGTTTTGCCGAATACTGACTGTTTTTAATTGTTTATCAGAATTATTTGGGGACCGAGTCGCGATAGTGCAATGAAATCTGTAGTTTGGAAGTCATGGCCGAATCTACGTCCTCGAATAGATCAAACCAGAGCAGAGACAAAAGTTCTACGAAATGTAAGATATATGTTAAATCTGCATTAAACTGAATATTTTGTAAGAAACTGAATATCCCCTCTAGATCTGTTTCCCTTAGTCAAAGTGGTGAAAGACTCTTCCATGTGTATTAATCTTTGTAACTTGCTAGAGTGGAAGAACTCTGTTTTTGTAACAGGCATCTGAGCCATAATCCTGGTGTTTGAAAAAATCGCATGCGAGTATTTGTGAGTACTTAGGTGCATGCTTTTGGTGTGATACACGTATTGTATCACTTAAACACATGAAAATGATTTTATGTAAACCTGTTGAACTTTCTAGATTTTTATTAAAAATGCGACTGGCCATCATCCCTGTGCAGTTAGTTGACATTATTTTCACCAAAACTACAGGCAATAAGCTTTTTACTAACTTTCCAAAATAATACTCTATCACTGCTAAATATTTTTCCTTACTGTTAGCTGCGCCAGAATCATATTCAAGGCAATCTCCATTTTTCTTTACCTTTTTCTTTTGTCAAAAGAGTGAAACATCAATCGTTTTGGACAACCTTCTTCCCAGCACATTATATGTTGTCAGTTTACAGGCTATGACTGGAGAGCATAATATACCCCACTCCGAGGATGCGTCTTTACACGCTAAAATGAACAGTAACCCCGATAAAGATTATATGAAGTCAAGTCTTATGCCTTTCCAGTCTATAACACCCAACAGTGTTTATTCACATTTACCAATGAAATATTTTGGAACAAGCAAAGAAGTATTTATTGCATTTGAAACTCCTGCGAATGTAAATATTTTGGATAATAGAATGAATCACAGTCATTCCTCACAAAAATTCCTGAAGTTTTCAAGAAACGGATCACCAGGTAACTGGATATGTGAAACCTTTTGTTTAACATAACCTAACAAAACATCGACTATAGAAATATTGGTTTTCAAGTATTGGTTTTGTAGGGATTTTGTTTGATTCGTTGAAGGATTTCATCATGAGCTGATATCGGTTAGAGAACCATTCGAAAACCTGGGAGAACTGGAAAACCGTTTCGTCTTAGTTTGGGACTCGTCATCAGTACGCACCTACGGCCAGGGTTCGAAGCCAGGACCCTCTGGTTACAAGACGAGCTCGTAGACCATTAAGACATTGGGACCCCATCCAATGGCCAATGAAATCTAACTTCTGCCAATTCATGACATATCTCAACCACTTCGCAATTGTTTTCAGATTTCCTTCTGAGAGCTATGCTGTCTTTCGAATGAGAGATAACAGCAATAGGTAACATAGGTGCCAAAGAAATAAGCGAAACCTACAACGTAAGAGTCACTCATGACTGTCCCAAGCTGAGATTAACACCATTTAGTCGTCATGATGATAATATCATGGGGTTACTTTTTCTGGACACTAAGTAGTAACTGTCATACTCCTGGTCCTGCGTTTGGTGTAGACTCATAGAAGAAGTGCATGCATGACACTAGTCAGTAAACAGTGTTCAATGAAAGTATCTATCATATTTTTCAGTCGCAAATTCGAATAGCTCACTTGTAGTGTCCCTGATCGCAACAATGGATATCCTGCTTTCAAATCTCCGAAAAGACATGAGTTCTGTGATGATTGCAGATACATGATGCTGACGAGTGCTAGCAAGCATGAAATCCAGGTCGAAAGCCTCATGGTGACTGCCTACAACCGTCTATTAAACGGTATCATGAAGCTGTTATATTTTTTCACTATAGAGTAGTTCATTATAATCTTTACAATGATTTTAATGAGTGGTGAAAATGGTAGCTTAATATGTTATGTAATCTAGCAGATAATTCTCATATTCCTACAACAAGTATCTATTTCTTCACTGAAGAAATCATACAGTATACAGAAGAATTATGCGAAATGTCATGATTTTGTCCGTTTATCAAAATTTCAGTTATCGTGAACTTTATCGTAGAGCAGAATAAAATCGTCAATCCTTTTATGTACATATATATATATATATATATATATATATATATATATATATCAGTCTTTGGGTTGAATCATATATGTATATATACGTCAAGTTTTACATTATAATTTCTTGGAATAGTTCGAGCTAAACGTAGAATTCTAATGTTTTCCAAACATTTTATGTTTTTTTATAGAATTACGACGAACACTTAGAAAGGAAATTTACTGTCTGATCTGGCTGGCCCTGTTTGCATTCATGAAAAATTGTTAATTTCACCGATTAGTACGAGAGTTTTTCAACTATGATAAAACTCAAATCATTTTTGTTTAATTTCACCCTCTTTTTCATTTCCGAGAAACCCCACTTACCTTCTTGTGTTGTAACTTAACTGAGTTTTGTCCTTCCATTTCTTTGTCGGATCTTTCAATGACTTGCTGTATTATTTTATAATATTTACCTCAAATATAGGCTTTGCAGGTAAACATCCGTGAATGATTTACCCAACTAAACCAGACCATGAAGTATTGCCTGAGTGTGTAATCTGTTTCCGCCTTTATCTGTGAATTTTCATGATATGACTAAGTTCACATAACTGTCGATATGTTCAACAAACCAACCATTCACATTTACAAGTGTTTGCTTGTATTTACGAGTAAACTTCAGAAAGAAAATTGTACAATGCTATGTGTGATAATATTCCCTCATAAATGCTTTTTATAACTTCTCAGTTCTAGTGGTAAAAAAATTGCAAATTAAAAAGTCAGTTCTGCTTATCTTCTTTATTTTCTACCAGTAACTTCCGCTATTTACATGTACATATGTTATTTCCCATTCATCCCTATCTGTTTTCATCGATGAAATCTGTGATATTGCATTTATTATGTACAATGAGCGATTTGTTAGGGAAACTGTTATTTAATGCAAATTTTAATAATCTGAAAATATGTTCCAATTCTTTTGTTTTTCTACATAAACTGCATTACTAAAAATCATTTTTTTTATTATTTTACTATCAGTTCACTTGTACAAAATTCTTTGTTTCCTGCATTCAGCAACCTGTGGCAGTATGAAATATCAAGTAAATACTGACTGGCTTTTGATTTACGTACGGTAATTTCTTTGGGCAGTATTTTTGATTTGCTGCCACGAGATATTTATAGGATAATTTAATAATTCTCAAGTATTGGTTTTGTAGGGATTTCGTTTGATTGGTTGGAGGATTTCGTCATGAGCTGAAATCAGTTAGAGAACCACAAAAAAATCTTGGAGTACTGGACAGCTGTTTCGTCCACCGGGGTTCGAACCCAGGACCTTCTGGTTACAAGGCGAGTTCGTAGACCATTGAGCCACTGGGACCCGATCCAAATGGTTCTTGAATTCTAACTTCTGCCGATTCACGACATAGCGCAACCTTTTCACAATGTCTTCTTCGCTGAGTTACTGGCTCATCTTCAACCTGCTGTTCCCATTGTAGCATTAAGAACACAATATTCAGCGAAGAGAGTCTTTTCAACGAATTTATTATCCTGCTGTACAATTATATATATACATGGTTTTTAAAAATTTATACCCGGTGAGGGAATCAGATCAAAGGTGTGAATACATGAAATAATAATAGTATGAAATGAAATTAAAATATTTGTGATTATAATCATAGTTAAATGTCAAGTACCCAAGCCATTAATGTCATATATCGAATAATACATAAGGTGTATAGATGTTGCAAATGGGTGAATAATTATAGGATTAGTAGGTGAATATAAAATGTTACATACTATGGTGGGAAATTCGACACGATAGAATTCAATATTGTGAAAAAATCATAATTTTGGATTTAGAATGACAAGTGGGAACAATTCAGAGTGAGAATAGTAATAATAATAATAATCGTAGTAATAAGGGCTAAGTACATAGGACCGGAAGGTCCTGGGTTCGAATCCCGATGGGTGCGTACTGATGAAGAGTCCCAAACTAGGACGAAACAGCTGTCCAGTACTCCCAGGTTTTCCAATGGTTCTCTAACTACTGTCAGCTCATGATGAAATCCTGAAACCAATCAAATCCCTACAAACCAACACTTGAATAATTAAATAAACAAAATACACAAATAAATAAATGTCTATCCCTCTACTTCCAAGGCAGCAGTAGGGATTGTACATACTTCTTTTGTGCACAAAGGTCTGACTTAAAGTCACTGATAGGAAACAACCGTTTACTAGAAAGTAGACAAGGTTATTTTGGAGGTTATGCTATCAGTATCGTATGAAAAACTCAGGCTGTAGTCTATTTTTAATTTAAAAAATGTACCTTACCCTTCGAAAGGTATTATTCAGTGCTTTGAAAGTTTTTTATATTTCCAGATCTCATGACAAGCTTAGTTTATGGTCTTTCACAAGGTGGTTAAGCATTGTTATACAACAATTCGAAACATTCTGTTTAACGTTCAACCATTACAGTGATTCATAATAAGCTTTTGCTGCATGAATCCTAACATTCGTGAAAGATATTTGTTTACTTACATTCAGATGTCCGAACTTTTTTCCTGTATTTATTTCAACGATTTACTATGTAATAATGAATATATTTAGACTTTTCATAAGGCCATATATGTGTATATAGTGGTGACTTTTTTCCACTTTTGAACTATAAACATTTAAACATTAGTACAGGATTATGCTGACAACTTTTATAAGGATATCCTCTTAAAATACATGACAATAAAATACACCAGCGATTTGCATCCACCATATTCAAAATTTTTAATTCCAGAGGAACACCGTATGTTTTTATTCACTGTCCATATAAATGTATGTGTTGGTCAGATGATTAGTGATACTAGCAAGTGAACGACTAAAATTGCATTCTGATAAATTATGGGAATACTATGAATCATGCAATCAGTTTTACACATATATGCAATCAGTTTTGTTCATAATCAAATTCAAAAACATAATTTTAAATTTGCTTTGAAGTTTAAGTAGCGATTACACTGATTTTCCAGGTTCGAGTTGCTTTCTCCACGCCCAGCCTTCCCTCTCTGTGACTTCAGAACCGTCTAGTATGCCAGTGAATAAGCAAACTAGACGGAGCTAAAAGCCTTCATACGTGGTATAGGATGGCAGTCAACTCTCCCACTCAGCTGCACTGAATTTGAGAAGGCCTTCGACAAAGCCAACTGTGTAGTAATTCGCCAACTGTTTCAACACTATTGAGGCCTCAAACCTTTATCTACCTCATTCAGCAGATATTTGACATTGCTTCACATCAAGTGATTCACAACAGCAAACATAATGAAGCCTGTCACCGATGCTGCTATGATCATGGTAGACTCGAGCAAGCAGCAGACTGTGTGGTGTGAGAAGGTAGTCACACAAGTCGAAGATAATTTGCGCCTAATATGGCACAAAACTGAAGATCTACAGGCAAAAACCAACACGTTGTCAGAAGCAACAACCGACAGAACTTCGAGTGAACATAGAGAAGACGGATGCCATGACGATAATCGATCACCATCAAAGGGGGAGATTTTTAAAGGAATTCGGATATTTCACTCATCTGGACGGTATTGTTTCAACTACAGGTGGCACCAATGAGGATGTAAAATCCAACCAGAATCTGTAAAGCATGAGATACCTTCGTTTATCTGGAATCAGTGGGGAGATCTACTCCACTCAGCACTATGGAATAAGATCCAGATCTTCAACAATAATGTCAAGCCAGCTCTTCTATATGGTTTAGAGCCCCGATAAATTACTTACACGATTTCTAACTGGCTTCAGATTTCCCCGACAGATGACTTCGCTCCAAACTGAAGACCAGATGGCCATAAAGTATTAGCAATAAGGAATTGTGACGGTGAATCAACCAAGAGCCTATCGTCCAACAGATATGCCAAAGGGAATGGAGATCGATCAGGCATACACTCATGAGACAATTGAGTGATATCGCGTGTCAGGCTGTTGAGTGGAACTCAAATCGAAAACTATGAGTTGGGCGTCCGACAGAGTTATGTGGGGGGAGGGGATTATGTGAGGAGGAAATGAAGGTTTATGAGCAGCTGTGAAGCCAACCAAAAAGCACTATGGGGAACTTATTGAAATGACTGTGTGCTGCTGAAGCTGTGCATTCCCCTGGGAATCCAAGGGAATCTTAACAATAATAACAAATGTGAATGATTTAATATATTTTAACAGGGATTCAAATTTTTCGGGCTTAAATCGATGTTTTCTACCATATTCTAACCAGGATGTATAGTGACATCAAATGTTTGCTACACTTAGGGGATCCTTAAATAAGGTTTAATTTGCCCTAAAACCGACATCCTGTGGTCCCGTCACTTCAATGACTTTGCAGACATTTAGTCGCGCACGATTCGCTAATCAAAAAGTTGTCAAGAAGAAACACTGGTAATTAAAGAAAAATTAGAAGCTGAGGACTTCAATATTGAGAACACCTTTCTTTTAATTCTTTTCTAAATTTAAAATCAATCTGTAGAATTTAAAACTCTCCATTTATCATTTCTCTCTTTGAATAAGTCGGATTAAAATGTTTTCGTGAATATATAGGTATGAAGTGACTCAGTAGCTAAATCCCCAGCTAAATTAAAGAAAGACTTTTAGCGCAGAAATAAGCAGGATTATGTGAAAGTGATTTTGACTAATAATGAATTATCTGCAAAGCTAAAAACTTTTTCCATTAAAATCACTGCTTAAGCAAATTGCCGGTGATTCAGTTCAACTATTCGAAATTAACTCTAGCACTAATTCCTAGTTTAGAGGATGTTTTATTTATTGTGACTCATGAATACAGTGGTATTTTTCTAATAACCATTTCTGACTTAATGGGTATTCTTGAGTTTTGAGTATATTTTGAACAAATTGAGTGAGATAGCTTAGCACAAAGAGACGTAGATTAATAGTACTATTTACAAAAATAGATGTATCTTTATCTTCAACATTTCGGAAACGTAGTGTACAGTGACTGACACATTTCGCAGAGCTACTAATCAACGCGTTAAATTCTGCTGAAAACTGATTTTGATGATGACTAATACCTCAAATAACCAACATCTCTTTTTTTATAACTAGATAGCGCATAGTGATATTCACTCTGTGATCATTTTCTAAATAAATATGTTTCACGGATTTGACTGATTTTAATTTAGATTTAGTCACAAACAAGGAACAGAACTTTTGAAGGCAAGAAAGCACTGGAACTCTGGATAGCCCAAATTTAGGAAATTCAGGTTAGCAGACGATTACATCACAGCTAAGACACTATGCGGAAAACCAGTAGCGTATGAATTCTAAATGCATTGCAGCCGGTATGTATAGTTACCTCCACCCGGTGCCATCAAAAACACTGGAAAATAAACTCGCTGCTTATTGGTGGCTGACAGCACGATGTGATTTTAGGGTTTATTTTAATGATAATCTATCGCTGGTAGTGTCCAAAAGACTGGATATAAGGATAACCCGGGAGTAAAGAAATATTTGATAGGATAAAATGTCACTTATTTATTATGCAGATATATCATATAGCTACAGATTTAAAAGCAGAAATCACTAGCTGTCATTATTACAGTTTAATTAGCAGTGTTAAACACAGATTCTTCTTACATTTGAGGCAGAGTTAGACGCAGTGTGTGGATGCTCATTTTCATGTAGCTGATAAAGGTGAGATTAAGGACTTATCAGTAATAATAAGATATTGATGTCAATTTTCTAAAAAGCGTTGATGCTACTGTGACTTATACTTGATAATGATAATGATAATTTGCTTTATTCCAAAAACGGTACTAATGATACAGCAGGGAATTTTCAGCATTCAGTACAATACTGCATCTAATTTACTCAAAAACGACCAAAAATTAAAAAAATTACATAATAATAATAATAATAATAAACGTTATTATAGCAGCTACATAGCAAAATATGCATAAAGTATAAAATTGTAGTAATAGTAGTAATAAAAACTAAAATGAAATAGCAAACTTATGATTAAACCATAGAAAGTGTGACACCATATAATACAGGAAGATGAACAATGAAATGGTCGATTCACTGTGCTAATTACATAGTAATTTATGTGTTTCACGTCTAACAGAGTCTGCATCACATAAAGTACGGGCTAAATAGG